AGGTTACATACGCTTCAGGTTACAGACTCCGCTAACCCAGAAATAGTGCTTCAGGTTAAGAACTTTGCTTCAGGATGAGAACAGAAATTGTGCTCCGGCGGCGCGGCAGCAGCAGGAGGCCCCATTAGCTAAAGTGGTGCTTCAGGTTAAGAACAGTTTCAGATTAACTACGGACCTCCGGAACGAATTAAGTACTTAACCTGAGGTACCACTGTACTGTATTTGCTGCTATTAAAAAAAAATACAGTGGGGCTTCTAACAGCTGATTCTACAGAACTCTATGGCTATTTTATCAGTTCGCATTGTGGGGGATGTTTTAAGACAGGAGTCACCAGTGTGGCAACCTTGTGTCCTCTGCCCCTGTCACCCCACTGATACTAGGTTTGAAAGAGACATTCTGCTTCAGCCAATAAGATTGATTAGTATGTGTATGTGGTGCTCACGACAGTTTCTCCAGTTTACAAATGTGCGCAGAGGTCCCCAAAGCTCGATGAGCCCTGTTTTAAGACCACCCAGCATAGCGTATTGCTGCAAGCCTACATTGTCAGCTTCTACACAATAATCTGGGTACATCTGGGACCTCAAACTTGATTGGTGCTTGTGATCATGAAATCCTGTACAGGAAGGCAAAAACTGGAAGCCTGGGTTCAAAGAAGCAGAGAAACTCGATTGTCTGAAGCTGACATCACCGTGGGACATTTCACAGCTTACAAAACTCCCATCTAGACATCACGTCCTCTATGTAGGAAATAATGTGCAATTTGCATGCAGATTGTTACCCTTTATTTAATTAAGTATTTTTTTTTATACCGCCCTTCAGTTCCATTTCAAGGGCAGCTTCCTCCCAAAAAGCACAATTAAAATGGAAGTTCAAAAAGTATAATAAGCAAAATAAGCGAAAAGCAAAACTGTAGTCAGCAGAATTGAAGTGGCTTCTTAAAAGCTCAGGGAAATAAAAAGGGACTTGAAGCCACGGCAGTTTGCTTAGTAGCACAGGCATAGTAGGATCATAATGTCCCATCCCTGTTTGTGATCTAGCAGCAATCGCCTCCCCTAACAGCAGTTCCCATTGTTTAAAGCAAGGATGGGGAACGGAATCTCAGTCACCTGACATCACAATAACATGCCCACAGAGGTCTCCTGAAGGTCCTTTCAAGATAATGCCAGATGTCTTCTTCTTCTTTGGCGATCACTCATAGCCAAGTAAGATTGGCTTCCATGAACACGGTTTTAACAGTGAGTCCATAAGTGACTGTGGAGGCCAATTCTGGATCTGCATGTCCTTCCCCAGTGGGGACATAGGTTTCTGGGAGGGAGTTGATCACGGTGAAGGTTTGCCAAATGTGCCATTCTCTTAGCTCGTTTCTCCCTTTCGACCTGAGTTTGTGCTTCTTCAAAGTCCATGACACCTTTGGCAAAGGCTGTTCTCCAACTGGAGCACTTGCAGGCCAGTGTTTCCCAGTTATCAATGCTTTTACTACATTTTTAAAAGATTTGCCTTCAGAGTGTCTTTAAACCTCTTTTGTTGTCCACCAGTATTTCGCTTTCCATTCTTAAGTTAGAAATAGAGTAGATGTATGGCATATATCATATGTCAGGCAGGCAGGCATGGCTTGACTGAAATGACCTTGTGGGCCATCCGATACGACCTGGCAGACCTAATAAAGCCCACAGTTGGATGTTCCCCACCCCTAGCTTAGAGGCAGCCTTGCTCATAGTGCATTAAAGTAGCCTAACGTGGAGGCTATCTGGTAAGGGACACAGAATTCTTACATATCACAGCAACACCAGCTTCAAAGCACAAGCTGTTGCAGTTTGAGTACCCAGGTAGTCACAGCTGAGAAAAACCAACTGTGTCCAGCTCATCTACTCAGGTTTCAGAGATATAAGCCTCCTCATCCATGATCAAGTTATGGATTATGGTGGTCTTACCTGGGATCAATCCAGCATTCAGCAGCAACACCAATATGGCCATGGATGGGCTGGCAGAACAAACAGGGATGCTGAAAATGGTGGAAAGACAGAAAAGAGAGGAGAGTGATTTATATTAATTGAACTTATTTATGCATTGAAATTATATTCACCTTTCCTCCCCAAACCCAGAGCAGCAGATACACATTTTTTTAAAAAAAATTAACCAACCAAAATCTTCTAAAACACATATCCCCTTAGAGAAAAATTGTGTCTTTCCTTCAATCAGAAGATAGCCTTCGTCTCACTAAATAAATATAAACATATTCTCACCAACTTTTCTCAAGCAGTTAAAATAGCCTTCCTATCTCCTCACCATCTGGCCAAAGGGGCAAAGCCTGTTTGATGTTGGCCCACTGCTTGATGTCTACCACCTAATGCTGCCTCTGGAGGAAATGTCCCAGCCTTAACTGGTATCTTAGGCTGGGCTTTTCAAATGGCCTGGGGGAGACGGCGAGCAGGGCCATCTTCACTCAGGGCCTGTGTGAATGCAGACAATGTATTAACACATGTATATCAATCATAGTCCAAAAATTAAAATCGAGATATCATTCATTCACAGCCATTCCAAATCCATTTCCGGCAAGTTTTAGATTTGTTCAGGCCTAGAGGAGAAATAAACTTAAGAACAATGAGCACATCAACTGTCTGTGCTCATTAAAATGAGGAAGTAATATTTTGTCATAAGAATAAATGGGATTTATAAACTGATCCAAGACACATTATCTAGGAGGTGGCATAAATAGATTAATCTGCCTGATGGGGCTGCAGATTTCTGTTTCTGAGATTTTTGTTTCCTCCATACAGTAACTGCTTTTTAATGAAGTTGCTGTTTTAAAAGAAGTTTGTGATGTGACATGAGGGTTGGCTGTTCAAATGAAAAATATATTTTAAAAATCTACTGTGTGTGCACTTTTGTATGCACAGGTAAAGGCACTTAAGGCATATCTCACATTGCTTTGAACCCTGAAAGTTACCTAGAAGTAACCCCAGCAAATATCAATAGGGCCTAGGACAGCTTTCAATTCATATTTACTTTGCCTATGGCTCCAAGTTTCAATTCCATCAAGTGTACAAATTCACCTGAAGTGGATCATGATGATTAGGATAAGCAATGCTATTTTTCTAGAAAAACTCACCACGAACACCTCCCTTGTTCTCTTATTGACCTGCCAAAGCACACACACAGCTTTATTGTGGTCCATAGACCCCAAATACTCTCAAGGCTCTAGCAAGGCTTCAGGGAATTACGATCCCTCCCCAGTTGGCAGTCAAGAGGCAGATAACTGAAAGAGTTCTTGCAACGTAATTTATTCAGTATTCACAGAGAGAGAGACAAAGGAATGCTGTCTCTATAATGATGGCATTGCTCCAAGTAAAGTCCCACCACTTCAGTCCCTCCTAATCTACATCACCCCTGCACTGGCTGGTCAGTGCTTTCTGCCTCTGAGATTTCTGTTTTGCTACTTGCACAGCCCACCTGGTTTTGGGAGAGGGAGGATCAGGAATGCTTTCAGGAGACTCTGAGTCTGTTAGCTGTCTCTCCCGCAATGCTTCTCCTTCCTGCTGCTCCCCCAATATATCCCAGCTTTCCCCCTCATCAGCCTCTGAACTATGCCCTTCAGCAAACCACTGTTCTAAATCTACACTGTCCTCTTCTTCCCGGGAAGGTGCAGAGGGGGGGCTCTCACCATTGCTCCTCAGTCCAGGCCCTGACAAATACACAGTGCAGTGTGTTCTCTTATAATGGACTGGCACCCCTGAGAGCCCAGCACCCAGGTGCCCCGCACCCCTAGTGCCTATGTGTAAGACGGCCCTGGTCAAAACCAGCCCCATGTATAACACATTGCAGTAATCTAACCTAGAGGTTACCAGAGCATAGACAACAGTAGTTAGCCTATCCCTGTCCAGATAGGGGTGTAGCTGGGCCACCCACCAAAGCTGATGGAAGACACTGTGCACCACTGAGACCACCTGAGCCTCAAGTGACAGCAATGATTCAGAAGTACCCCAAGCTAGGTAGCCACCCCTTCAGAAGGTTTGTGCATCACTGCTCAAAAAATCTTAAGACCACAGCCTTATACATAAACATATATACCAAGGAGAAGCTCACTTCTTTCTGATTCAAAATGTATAGAGTTGTGCTGTAAAGGTACCAGCTCCAGGAGAAAAGAGCAACAATTCTGAAAGAGTCTTGCGGCGCCAATGATGGCATTCAAGAAGGACACTGATAAACTGGAACGTGTCCAGAGGAGGGCAACCAAAATGGTCAAAGGCCTGGAAACTATGCCTTATGAGGAATGGCTAAGGGAGCTGGGCATGTTTAGCCTGGAGAAGAGGAGGTTAAGGGGTGATATGATAGCCATGTTCAAATATATAAAAGGATGTCACATAGAGGAGGGAGAAAGGTTGTTTTCTGCTGCTCCAGAGAAGCGGACACGGAGCAATGGATCCAAAATACAAGAAAGAAGATTCCACCTAAACATTAGGAAGAACTTCCTGACAGTAAGAGCTGTTCGCCAGTGGAATTTGCTGCCAAGGAGTGTGGTGGAGTCTCCTTCTCTGGAGGTCTTTAAGCAGAGGCTTGACAACCATATGTCAGGAGTGCTCTGATGGTGTTTCCTGCTTGGCAGGGGGTTGGACTCGATGGCCCTTGTGGTCTCTTCCAACTCTATGATTCTATGATTCTATGATTCTATGATTCTTATGCCATGAGAAATTCATCTTTCAGATGCCGCAAGCTCCTCTGTTGTTTTGACTGCAACAGGCGAACCAAGCTGGCTACGCTGTGGAAACACTTCCAAAAAGCCACTTTGTGGCTGCTCCTTTGGAACATGTTATTGGAAATAGGCACTTTGTGTTGGGATACTGCCAGGGAGATAAAGTCCATCAAGGCCCCCAAGCCGTCTGCCGGACGATCCATCTCAGTCTCCCGTAGGCACGCAGCGACATGAGTTTCTAGAAAATATCTTGCCACATTCTAGAGCTCATGCACGCTCTATCAGCAGATAAATGCACAGCCAAAAGTTGCAGTCAGGAGAGCATTATTTACAAGTTTATTCAGCGTTGATCAGAACACAGAAAAACATGACTGCCTGCTTTAGTGTCTGCGACACCAGAGAGAAAACGAAAGCAACAGAAAACATAAACATCCTGTGAACAGGAAATACGCAGACTCTGACTCACAAAGCCTGCTCCCTTTTAAGGTGGAACGGAAATATCCTAACATCCTCCCCTTTCCGTGTAACCTGTAGTACCTGTGGTTCAACCCAATTGCAACCTTTGTACGTAAACCTTAAGTTGTTCTCTGTTAACAACCTTAGACAACAGATCAGCAGGAATTTCATTTCCTGGCATGTAGGACACCTGAATGAGTCCTTTCTGAATACACTCTCTTGCACGATGTAGCTTAATCTGCAAGTACTTGGTCCTTTGCTTGCAACTCTCTGAGTTCAGCAAAGCCAAACAAGATCTATTGTCTTGATACACTTGTACAGGACATTTCACAGAAACTCTGATGTCCTTAAACAGTTGCATCAACCATTCACAATCCATGAGTGAAAATGACAGAGCATTGAGTTCTGCTTCACAGGAACTTAGGCTCACTGTCGTCTGCTTCTTGCACAACCAGTCAAACAGACAGTGGTTGTACATGTAGCATACTCCAGAAGTGCTTGTACCATCCGTGGTGTCACTTCCAAAACTTGCATCTGCAAAGATTTCAAGACCTCCAGTCTTCTGACTGGTGAACCTCAGCCTGTAGTGCATAGTCCCTTTCAAATAGCGGGCTATGCGCTTCAGAGCTTTCCAATCCTGAACAGTAGGATTGTTGGCATGTCTGCTAAGCAGGTTACAGCTTACAGCTATGTCAGGTCTTGAGCATCTAGCAATGAAATTCAACTTGCCTAGAATGCATCTGTACAGCGTTGTGTCAGAAAACGCTTCAGCAGTACTATCTACCTGGTAACCTGTCACCATCGGTGTGTCTGCTGGGTTTGCATCAACCAAATTCAACCTGGTTAATACATCAGCAATTTTCTGTGTTTGGTGTACCAGAAAATTACCTGCTTGGTCCTTCTCCACCTGCAGAGAAAGATAGTTGGATACCTCACCAAGATCCTTCATGTCAAAGTGCTCCTTCAGCTGAGCTAGGGTGCTTTGGTAGAAAGCCTGATTCTTCCAAAACATCAGAAGATCATCAACAAAACATAAACAATACAGTTTGTTTTGCCCTTCCTCCTTGACAAACACACATGGATCAGCTTTGCCCTGGTGAAAACCTAGAGAAAGCAATGTCTCAGTGAGCTTTGTGTTCCAACACCTGGCACTCTGCTTGAGACCATATAAGGATTTCCGCAGTTTACAGACCATTCCCTTCTGTATCTGCATCCCGTCAGGTGGAAGCATAAACAGCTCCTCCTCCAAAATCCCGTACAAAAAAGCTGTATTAATGTCATGATGGGAAACATGCAGTTTCTCCTCCGCAGCGATCTTGAGCATCAGCCGAATGCTCTCATATTTGACTGTGGGTGAATAGGTCTCGTGGTAATCCTGTCCTGGTACCTGTGAAAAACCTCTGGCAACCAATCTGGCTTTGTGTCTGACAACCTTGCCATTCTGGTCTGTCTTGGCCTTGAAGACCCATTTGCTGCCAACCAGTCTCATCCCTGGGACTACCGGTACCAGTTCCCAAGTTTGGTTCCTGTTCAAGGAATCAACTTCAGCCTTCATGGCATTAAGCCAAGGCTCAGCATCTTTAGAGGTTAACTCCTGAACCTCTTTGAAGCTTGAAGGTTCCCATACCTTCTCTGAGCTACTAAGAACAGCAGTTGCTGTCTTAGCAAACTCATCAGCAAATCTCTTTGGAGGTCTGCCCTTCGTGGCTCTCTCAGATCTGCGTACTAGACGCAAGTCTTCTGGACTCATCTCCTCCTTCTTAGGAGAAAAGTGACCAATGGTGAACAGTGGTTCTTCCAGTTCATTGTCAGACGCATCAGATGGTCTGACTGAGGCCTTTGCGCTCTTGTAGTCTGCTGTGTCATCACTGTCACCGACATCAGCAGCAGCGCCGCCCACTGAACTGGAATCCGAACTCTGATCATCATCGTCATCATCATCCTCAGCAGCTTCCTCAGCTTTAGCTGCTTCTTTGACATCACCTTCATCCTCCTCTGGGTAACTCTGGAAAATTCCCACATTTTCCCCCCACTTAGGATTGTACTCAACACTCTTTGTGAACTTAATGGACTTAGAGTTGGTCATCCACACCCTGTATGCACCTTTTCGTACCCCATGAACAAACCATGTGCCCCACGCTTCCCAAGCTTGTTGCTCTGTGGGGTGTGTACCCACATGTCAGAACCAAAGATTCTCATGTGCTTGATGTTGGGTTTCTTACCAAACATCTTCTCATAGGGGGGTACAACCAATAGGTGATGACAATCTGCGATTATAAGTGTAAACATACGAGTTCAAAGACTCCCCCCAAAACTTCTCAGGGAGATTGGCATCATGCAACAATGTTTTCAGTCCTTGCAGCAACATTTGCTTTGCTTGCTCACAAATCTCCCATGGAGATCCAGGACTTGAGAGGCTATGCTGGATTCCCTTCTCAGTCAGGAAAGCTTCAAACTGCCGAGAAGTGAATTCAGCCTCTCGATTAGTAAACAAACAGCCAATGCGTTTACCATGAACATTGTCCAACCAAGCACAGAATGCCTTGAACTTAGGAAACGCTTGCGATTTCTGCTCGAGCATAAACACATGAATGTACCTGGAAAAAGAATCAATTAGAACCATGAAGTACCTTGCTCCACCCAAAGAGGGCGCAAGTGGACCAACCAGGTCTGCGTGCACTAGCTGGTAGGGTTTGGAAGCCTGCCTGCTAGACTCCTTGCCTTTTGGAGCAACCTTCACCTTGTTCTCTGCACAAGATACACATTTCATGTGAAACTTACAGGGTTTGATGTTCAAACCCTCAACCATCTCTGGCATCTTGGCCAGCGCCTGCCAAGACATGTGACAAAATCTTCTGTGTGCATCATGAATGCATCCTGCATGAAGAACTTTGTTAGTTTGTGCAACACAACAAGAATCAGCATTAGACACAACAGCACCATTGTCGTCATAAGTTATACAGAACAAGCCATCCATAAACTTTGCATGCAAAATGTCCTCTTTGCCTTTTCTGATGACACAGACGCTCCTCTTGAAGGAAATCTCAAAACCACGCCCAGTCAGCTGTGGGACACTGAGCAAATTGTCTGCAGCGCCTGGAACATATAGTACATCTTTGATGGTAGTGTGCAGACTTGCCAGTTTCACAGTCCCTTCTCCTGCAATTCGCAACGTCTTTCCGTCAGCCAGGTGGATCTCACCTTCTTGAGGTCTGAAGGAGATAAATAGGTGGCGGTCCTTTGAGATATGGCGGGTACAGCCTGAATCAACAACAAACCTGGCCTTGGCTTTTGGAGCAGCCTTTGCAGCAAGCAAAACCTTGTTTTCCACCAGCGTGGGCTTTTGCAGCTTGCCCCCCTGCTCCTGGCCATCAGACTTGCCTTTAGCCTTTGGTGAGGCTGTGCCAGCAAACAAAACTTTGTTTTCATCTGGCGTGGGCTCTTCACCCTCCCTCTGCTTCTGGCCATCTGCAGGCGTCTGCCTCTGTTTACCTTTGCCCTTCCGGCCTCTGCAAAGGCGATGACCTTGGTTCCCATGAGAAACAGAGCTCTCAGCTGCCGACTCCTTGGCTCCCCCTGGAGGCTGGAATGCTGCCTGGGATGACGTGACAGTCAGCTCCCCCCTGCAGCTTGCAACCGGTGCCCTCAGCATCCCTGCATTCACTCGCATTCTGGGAAACAGCCAGGACCTCCGATGCAGTCAAACTCTGGGCTGGGATGACTGGCTGATGGGCTATCTTCAAAGCATGCCACATCTTTCGTGCAGTCAGATTGCCAGCTAGCGTCTTTATTTCCTCCAGAGAGACGGACAAGACGATTACGTCAACGGCCTTCGAATCTTCGGCCTTCCATCTATCTGTCAGAGGAACTGGAGGGGCCTCAGACACAGTATGCCACACTCCAAACTGACGCAGCAAACTCTCACACCATTTTGCCCAGGTCTGATAGTTGTGCCGATTTAACTTTGGGCACGCAGCAGCCTCAGAAGCCTGGAAAAACTCCATTCCAGGTTTCTACTTGAGCCGTGAATCTTATTCACTTCAGAGACGTCTTATCTCGGCAGCTCATAAATCTTGAGGCCTTTGGCGCGGCTCCCAGATCCATTAATCTGCCAGCCGGACATCAAAGCTCTTGCCGCGGCAAACAGAAAAGCCTTACTTTCGCTTTTCCTCCACATACCTTTCAGCAGTCTGTCGCAGTCTTACTCTCCTGTAAGTGCTGTGAATCTGGGCCCGAAACCTGTTGTTGGGATACTGCCAGGGAGATAAAGTCCATCAAGGCCCCCAAGCCGTCTGCCGGACGATCCATCTCAGTCTCCCGTAGGCACGCAGCGACATGAGTTTCTAGAAAATATCTTGCCACATTCTAGAGCTCATGCACGCTCTATCAGCAGATAAATGCACAGCCAAAAGTTGCAGTCAGGAGAGCATTATTTACAAGTTTATTCAGCGTTGATCAGAACACAGAAAAACGTGACTGCCTGCTTTAGTGTCTGCGACACCAGAGAGAAAACGTAAGCAACAGAAAGCATAAACATCCTGTGAACAGGAAATACGCAGACTCTGACTCACAAAGCCTGCTCCCTTTTAAGGTGGAACGGAAATATCCTAACACTTTGGGAGTTTGTTGCCTGGTGGGTAGCCCCAATTAGATTTCAAAAGTGTTGTGGGCTTCCGTGGGCTTAAGTGCACATCAAACCTGCCCTTACATGCCGTAGCTACAGTTCAGGGAACTGTGCGCAGATTCTTTCCATTTTAAACTATGGAAGCCATACCAAAGCTGCTGATGAAAAATACCTGGCTGGCTCACAGCAAGTGGCCGCAATCCAGGAGCACTGATGTGCATACAGAGACAGGTTCCCACATGAATATCTGCTGCAGTCTGAGCCCAAGCTAGTTGTGGAGGAGGGGAATTTCCCATGCACTCTGCCCTCCCAGTTACATGGTAGTCACACTTTCGATGCTTCCTCCCCCTTTCTCCCTGTACCAATTCACCTAGCTATTGATCAGTACTGCCTCTTCAACAATTTCCATCTCCTCTCAGTACAGAAGCAGATTGCATATTTCCGCTGCCCTGAAGGTCCCTGGATCTGAGTAACTGCAATAAATTCGTTTCTGAAACAGGATCATAGGTTCCGATTATCTTATCCATCCTTAACAGTGATAGGGGTTGCTGCTTTTGAAGCCTTTATTATGCCTTTATGTGGAGAACATGGCTAGATGGACATTTCTCTCTCTTTTTTCCTGGGGTCATCCAATGTTGGGAGATCCAGAACAAGCAATAGGAAAGACTTCTTCACACAGTGTAGATAAACAGTAGAATTTGTGTTAGAATTCCTGCTCCATGATTGCAGTCATGGGGTTTTTGTCTATCACATGACGGTATATGTTTTGACTCCACAGAGTGGGAAGTGACGGAGACAGGATGTTTGTGTTACTGTGTTCTGTGAAGTGGGACTATTGTCCTTTGTTCTTTTCTCTTTGCTGTCTGATGCTAGAGAGAGAGGGCGCCATGTTACAGTGCTCCGTGTGTGTTTATATGTAAATAAAGTAGATTAGCCAAAATGCTGAGTTGCTGAGGTGTGTTACACGAACTGCGCAAACTCTGCAGATCCCTAAGTGTGCCAGTGTCTGTTGGCATCGGTCACTGTGATGTTCGGGGCAGAAGAAAGCTTTTGAAGCTCCCAAACGAAAGACCAGGAGGGAGAGAACATGCCAGTCAGGCATGTGTCTCTGCCAGGGTCCTACTCGAGTGTAGGCTGAACTCCTTACAATTTGATGGCTACTCACCTTGATAGCTATGTACCAATGGGCCTGTGCTTCTCAGTACCAGCTACTGAGGTTCACTAGCTGGCAAATGCTGTTGAGTTCATGTCCTGGTTATCGGCTGTTTATAGGCATCTGGTTGGCCACTGTGAGAACAGGATTCTGGTCTGGATGAGGCTTTCATCTGATCCAGCGTGGGCGGTCCCTATTTTTTTTTATGTTTACTCTTAAAATAATTAAAACAACAGAATAGTAATTAAAACAGCAGAACAGTAAGGCTGCAGTTAAACAATCCAAAACTCTCCCCGCACTATCTAATAGTGATAGTGTCTATGATGAAGCAACCTTTCCGTGAATTACCTTCCTGGCAAACTCATTTAAAACCTGGAATGACAGATGTGTGAGCCGCCGAGCTTTAATTTGTGTTTATCCTATGTGTTTGGAGACAGAAATTGACTTGGAAACAATTTATGCAGTGATAGCGCAAATCAAACCACACCCCGTCCAAGGCTCCCTGTGGAGCACTGAAGATTTCTGTCACTATGAAGAGAGCATAAATCCTAATTAAGGCACTCTCCCTTTTTTTATTACACCGATTAAGCTGTTTTATCCAAGAAAGGCTATCCCATTATTAAAAACGAACCCTTTTGTAACCATGCAGATGGAGAGTGAATATGTCATCATTCAAAATAAAAAAAAATATGATTTCTTCCGCATTTACATACAGCCTGAGGATTTTTACTATAATCAAAAAGGGATCCAGAAAAGATCCCCAAAAGCTTTTCATATAAGCACTGCACACTTGTATATGCTGTGGATCAACGTGTTTGTAGAGGAGACAGAAAGTTTGGGGAATGGACCCATAGCCTTTTTTAACAGTTGCATGAAGCCATAATGTGAAAAGGTAACATGCATTAGTTGCTGGAAAGATTGTGGGGTCACTGAAGAAACGTTCAGGTCCCTGATTAAATATCAGTCAGCCCCACCCCAGAAACTTAATGTTGTTGGTAGAGGAGAATGCTAATTTAATGAGCTGCAGGCACAAAAACTTCAGGCAATAAGATATCCAGCTGATATAGTGAAGTATATAGTAGCTTTTATCTATGGATAGACACATCTGCAGGGGGGTGGGGGAGTGAGGCCGCGTGAAACTCTGCACACATTTTCTTGCATAGCTGGTAGGTTCGGATTAAAATGTAAACAGAATCAATTTATCTCCCATCCCTAAAAGAAGGGGAAGAAGATACAAGACAGACGTTGTGATAGGTAAGATGGACACATCTTGGCTCAGTATTTCCCCCCTCCTTCAAGGTTCTTCTAAGCTTGGAAATAAGTAGAAAACCAGAGCCATCTTTTAAATTGTCATAACATGCCCCAGGATCTCACGGCATACCTTCCAACATGCCTCTGATGAAAATAGGGACATGGTGAAGGATGGGTAAAATATCTTAATTAAAATAGCAATAAATAATGACCACCAATACTGCCCACTTTTGGCTCGTAAGGCAGGCGATATTCCACCGCATGTAGCCCAAAATATCTTTAAAACGTGTGTGTTATGCCTCTCATGAAGTGATAATAAAACATTTTCGAGCAACGAAAGCCATAACATGTTTAGTAGATTCTTATTTTGCAATATCTAACCAGTTGTTAAATATCTAACCAGTTGTTTTAGGAGTGAGTTTCAAATGCATGGAAACCAAGATAAAACTTGTTTCCCTCTCTGAAGTCCATTAAAAAAAAGTCTTCCTTTTGGTTAATCTGCATGCTCATTTCCATCTGCATCCACATTTATTTTGTACGTGTTTATGAATATATTCCTTTCAGTGTCAGAAGGTCTTCATAAATAAAACAACTTTTTTCTTAGTGCAGTATGTTTTGAATAACAAGTCAGCTACTGAGCTGGCAGATGGATATATTTTAATTGGTTAATCAGCTCTTGCCTTTCTATTAGAAAAGCCTGTGGTTTCGTCTTGCAAAGTAATACTTTTAATGCCAAAATCATGACTGCCCACCAAGCTGGACTGACTAAGAGCTGATTCACACAGGCCTGTTCATTATTTTATGAAAACAGCATCTTTGAAAGCATAATCACCTATCAGGCACTACAGGTACAGCTTTCGTATAACTTCATTTCACTCTGAACACCAGGCGCATTCAGACATGGGAAATATTGTGCTAGTTTTCCTCATTATAATACTGGCACATCTAACATTCTCTAACATTCCTTTCACACTGCAGTACCTGTTGTGTTATTGAAATGTGGCTTTTTGACCAATATACCAGCATCTCACACTAAATTCAATCGACACAAACAAATATCATTGGATAATGTCTCTACGCCAGCACCTTTTCTGCACAAGTGTGCATCAGTTACCCTATGATTCACCGATGGAAATAGTAGGAAATAACTGTATGCTGGGATATGGACCCAAATTCATTCATTCATTCATTCATTCATTCATTCATTCTACTTCCCTTCATCTGAAGATTACAGGCAGTTCACAACAAAAATTTTTGAAAAACAGAACACAAAATACGTAATATGACAAAGGCAAAACAATATTCCCTCTCCTACAAAAGTTATTCCCACAACTTTATTGGTGATTAGAGTTGCATATATCGTATTGGCCTGAATATAAGCCGAACCCAAATATAAGTCACACCTTTAAAATTGGAGGGGGGGGGAAGAAAAAATACCCAAATATAAGCTGCTCCATTCTTCTCTGCTCCTGGCTGCATACTTGGGGGGGGGGGTGTTTCGCGCTGCATTGCTGACAGCCTATCCCCCATCTCACTCTCTCCCCAGCCTTGGGGAAGAGGGCGGAGGACTACGCACAGGGTGGGCACCGCTTTGTCATGCTCCTGGCGCTGTTTGCCCCATGCTCCTGGCTGCGTACTGTAAGGTCGCGAATGTAAGCCACACTTTAACTTTTCACTGTCGGGATTTGGGGGGAAAGTGAGGCTTATATTCAGACCAATATGGTAGATTCCCCCCCCCCCCGAAAAGCAAATAACATAGCAATGATTGCTAATTTTCCACTAGATTCTGCTAGATTTCTTTTACATCATGTGAAAGCTCAAATGTAATGCAGAAATTAACAGCTAGAAAAACACTGGGGAAATGCAATGAGCAGCTGTGTGAATGCAACCCGTATTTTTCGATGCTCACACAATTCTGCAAAAACTCATCAGGTGCTGAGATGAAACCATGCTATGCAAACGCATGTGCTTGATGACCCCTGCTGGGCTGCATAGTCTGGTTTTTTTATGACATTTAGGTTTAAGGTAACCTTTTCTATATTTTTAAATTTTTTTACGCTCAAAGATCAGAGCTAGGCCACAGTTACAGTGGTACCTCGGGTTAAGAACTTAATTCGTTCCGGAGGTCCATTCTTAACCTGAAACTGTTCTTAACTTGAAGCACCACTTCAGGTAATGGGGCCTCCCGCTGCCACCGCGCCGCCACTTCACGATTTCTGTTCTCAT